CGCCCCTTGCCGGCCTGTGGGGAGGGGCGGGCAGCGCCACGTGGGGAGCGCAGGGCGCAGCCGCGGGCAGGGGCGCAGCGGGGACCCCGCCATGGTTTCAGGGGCGGCGGCGGCTGCTGCTTTGTGAGCAGCGGAGGGGACCTTGCTGAGTTGAATCTCTCCCTGCTTTCCTCTTCTGGCCTAGCCAGGCCTGCAGGCTCCCAGCCACCTCCCTCCCTCTCATTGTTCCCTCCCCAGGATTGATTTCCCCTCCTGCCCAGCACCCCGACTGCGGCACAGGGCGCCCACATCCCATACTAGGGGGCGAGTGGATGAGGTGAATCCATGCGTCATTGCTCTGCATTGTACCGTGTGGCTGGACAGCACAGCACAGCTCTGCTCCCTCCCCCCTCCCCCCGCAAAATTAAATTAAAAAAAAGATGTAGAAAAGAAGGGTCCTGCCAATACAGTAATGTCACCTGATTCTTGTTGACAAGGTGAGGACCCTGCCTGCCTGACTCGGGGGAGGCATACGCAGGCACCAGGTTGTGGACAAACACCTTTGGTTCGTGCAGGAGCTCTGGAAATGTTGCTGCTCCTGGCACGCCTGGTTTCCAGGCTTGTGTCGCTCTTTCCTTTTCCAAACAGGAGGTTTCAGTGGGTTTCATCTTATCTGGGAGGACAAACAGGAACATTAGATAGTTCAGGTTCAGCCTCAGTTGTCTGATTATTGTGTTGGGGGACATGATATGGCGGAAGAAAGGTGCCAATAGCTTGTCATGTTGGGATTTCTTTTAAGGTTAGGTTGGTATAATTATAACTTTCTTACAACTGTCCTAACAGTTTTTGTGTTTGAACTCCGTCTACGTGCTATCTGCTAGAACTCTGTGATCCCCACCCTCACCCCCATTGTATGGGGGGGAATCACAGAAACAGATCATCTGTGTGATGACTTAAGTGAAGGAAGATGCGTACAATTTTAAAACGTTTCCTTGTTCATTTGCCGGGCCAGGTACGCTGGTATGATGTGAAGTTGCCAGCACACTTCAGAACAGGGTGCAGAAACCAAAATGTATTAGCTAAATCAAATGTAGAGCTTCATTGTATTGTTGAAGTGCAAAACAAAGGGATATTGCTGGTGAATTTTACCATATTTGGACTGTAGAACTCTTAAAAACCACTAAGTAACCTATCAGTGTGAGGTCTTAATACAGAATCACCATCTCTTTGCTATCACTGACTGACTCATCATAACCAAGAGAACAGCAGCATGCAAACTCTGTTGGAAGAGAGAGTTTACAGGCTGAATGACTCTGCTGTCAAAATAACACCAGTTAAGGGGGGGTCTTAGTCCTACACTACCAGGTTTGCACTCAGAACTAGATTGGTAGAAAAATCAAGGGATGACATTTTTTGACAAGAGGTTCAAATTTTCCAGGAACTTTTGAAAAAAATGTAACCTTTTCTAGATAATTCTAATCCTAACTAGATGCCAGTAGTTAAGAGGTCAGGTTGTAATTAATTTGTTGTATTTGAGGAGTTTTTAGTAAGTTTTTAATTCTGGGAATCGAAAAAGTAAGGTCTTTGGAGGATCGATTTAAATTAATAATAGTCAAGCTAATAAACTCAATTTCTCAAGACAGTGCTTCCTGTATTTAGAGAAAATGTTACAATTTGGGGGTTGACGTATATTTTTGTTGCAAAATAAGAGATTGAATTCTTGTATTGAGTTGGGTTTTACATAATGGAGGTATGACCAGTGACTCCCTGATAGAAAGATATAGGATAAACTACCCTTTTTTTGTTTTGTTTTCTTGAATGCTTTTGAAAAGTTAGGAAAAAACAGACTGTGTGAGATCATGTATTGAGAGTGATCATGCAAAGGTGAATTGCTTGAAAGTAACAAGTGATTGTTACTGCATGTTTAAAAAGATTTAACAGTACCTCATAAAAGAAGGTAAAAGGTATTTCATAAGTTTTATATGGCTTTAGCACGCTTCACCAGCTTCCATAATTGGATAGAAATATTCGACATAGCACTTACTCCTATTGGGGAAAATTAGTAGCTAGTTGATCCAACTAAGATCAATTTTAAAGGACAGTGTTTGGTAAATTTTAGTTAAACCTTATGTTTGTGGTTATTATAACAGTGGAATGTCTGTTTTTAACCCTCTCTAGTGGTAAAGGCACATTGTTCACATTGCTGAAGAATGGGGAGGGGTTTTTTTAACCCACACTCTGGTCTGACTTTTTTGCTGTTTGCAAATTCAGTAAGCAGTTAGGTAACTTAAAAAGAGCTACAGTGTTTTATATATTGGATTGTTTTTGTTGAGCAATTAAAAAAATTAATTGTAGCAAAAAGCACTACGCAGTTGTATGGCTTCTCATCACATATGAAGCTTGGGTTTTTTTTATCTGGCCTGCCAAACAGTCTGCTTCTTCCCACCTTTTGAATATTATATCAGAAACATGTAGTTTAGGATTTAACATCCTTTAATGGCTTTTCAATTCTAGACAGATAAAAACAATTGTATTTTCACGTTGCTTCTATAATGAAAATGTGTTAAGTAATTTGAAGTAACTTCAGTATTTCTATATTCAAACAGAGATTCTGAAAGCACAGTAGTTTCAAGTATGACTGCTTTAAGTGGGCTGTAGGACAATTTAAACCTTACAACACATACTATATTTTCATGTCAGTGCTCTTAATAATAAATAATGAGGGATGGAAGAAAGTTGCAAACATTTTGATATTGAATGAGGTTGTTTGATTTTTCTCTTTGTTTCCAGATGTACTTTTAAACTATTTACTAGGACTCTGACATTGTGTATATAACATTCTGTGGCATAAAGGCAATACTAGCTAATAATGCTAACCAATGCCATGAAAACTTGAAGAGAATAATGAGGCAACTTTTGCCAGTGTGTGGTTCTCTTAGTTCTCCCCTCTCTCCCCCTCGCTTCCCCCAAGCTTCAGACATACTTTTTCAGCAGGAATTGATTGATATTGACACTCGCTGCTCAAGAGTGAGATGTACTTTACAGGGTGGATTAATAGATGTAGAGTTATCAATGTAATGAACATTTTATGAATTAAACTCATCTGTACCTTTAAGCATAAAGCACTTTTCCACTTCTCTGGCAATCTTCTGCTTGGCTATCCTGTACTATTTGTACGGTGGTCTTCCAACCATGCTGGAACCAGCACTGACGAGCACCTGCCATTTGTGAAAACTGTTCTTCATCTTGGGATGTTCTCATAGTTCTTAAGCATGACAAACACAGCTTATGTATAACTTTATACATTATTTTAATATTTCTAATTTATTTTGATGTTAGTTAGTCCTCAATCAGTAGCTGAAAGCATTTATTTTGAGCTCTGATTCTTAGCTCATGCAGTGTGATACAGAATATATGTCATAATATTTGATAAACTTGGTGACAGAAATATTGACAGAATTTAAGAGGTTAAACGTTG